GGGGGAGGGCCCACCGGTGGTGGCTCCCCCCCGTTGGCCACCTTGCAGGTGCGCGCACCCGCGAGCACAAAGGGGGGGGGATGGGCGCCGGGCGGAGCGAACGCACACGCGCCAGGGGAACACGGTGATCGGGCGCGCCCTGGGGGCCAGGGCGCACAGCCCGGTGAGACCGCCGGCCCCCGGCGCATGTGGGAGAGTTCGCCCGGGCCGCCGGCCGGGGGGGGGCATCTGGCCGGGGCCGGCCGGGCGTCCGCAGATTGGGCTGCCGAAGGCAAGTGGGCGCACACGGGCCGGCAGACAAGCTGGCAGACAAGCCGGCAGACAAGCCGGCAGACAAGCCGGCAGACAAGCCGGGCGACAAGCCGGGCGACAAGCCGGGCGACAAGCCGGGCGACAAGCCGCGAGCGGCCCGCACGCTGGGGGGGGGGGGGGGGCCGGGCCGGCCGGCCGCCGACCGCCCCCCCGGCCAGCTCACGATTTCACACCGGCGCCCCTCCGCCCCTGTGGCGTGGCACGGGCGCAAGCGCGCGCCCCCCCCCCCTCTCCCCTGTCCGCGCGCGGCCAGTGTGCGGCCGCGCCGCGAGGCCCGCAACTTATCTTCCCCCGCCCGGGCCGTCCCCCAGGGAACGCGCTTTTGGGGCGCCCGGCACGCACGCACGCACATTAGACCGCGACATTCACGCCTCTCGACGGCGCCCGGGAGAGCGGCGAGGGGGGGCTGGCCTCCGGCCGCGTCACCGTAAAGGTCCCTTGCCGAAGTGTCGCGCCGACGGCCGGCGGGCATTTTCACGAGCGCCCAGGGTCGCGAGCGCGCCCGCGTCCGGCGGGGGGCGGGGCGGCCGGGGGGGGGGGGGGGGGGGGGGCCACACACGGCCCGAGGACGCAGGGCACACCTATCTCACGCCCGGGGGCGGCTCGCCGGCGCGCGATACGCCCGGGGAGATCCCGGCGCATGGGTGTGAGGGCATGCGCGCGACTCCGGGGCCGGGGCGCCGGAGCCCGGCCCCGGAGGGAGAGAGAGAGAGAGAGATAGCACGGGACCGGGGGCGGCGGCGCCGCCGCGCCGGCGGGCTATCTTCGCCCGGCTTCTGCGCGGGCGTCTTGTTTTTGTTTTCGTCCCGCTCGCCTTCGGCGCGCATACAAACACGGGAGAAGGGCCCCGGGGGGCCGGGCGCGGGG